TGTGTGTGTGTGTGTGTTAGTGTGTACGTGTGTGTGTTTAAGTTTCTCATGGTTGTATGGTTGGCAGAGACAGGGAGGTGCTGGGAGACACAGCTGAAGTGTCAGAAGGAAGGACAGGAATAAACAAATAGATGAATAGGTGGATATAAAGACGGTGAGGGAGAGAAAGAGGCTGTGTGATGTGTTAGAGGTTGTGAGGCCACCCCTGAGGGACTTCTGCTGCTCCTGCTCCATCTTCCAGGGGTTTCAGAGGAAGTGGGCTTCATGCAAATCTGACTCACAATCAGCGGACAGCCTGGAGAGTCAGAGGAGACACTGTTTTATATCTGTGGTTTTATATTATCATGTCCATCCTGGTGGATTTGTCTCCATTTGCACTGCTGAATGCAGGTTTCTTCAATTTCTTCACGTTTACCTCTCTGTTTCCCATCACAAGTAAATTCATCTTTTATATAAGTCTTCTGCAACACAGTCAGCTTATTTCAATGTGCTCTACAAAGACAAATCACAGCCATTAAATGATGTGGTAAAGATTTAGTTAAAAACCTGACATTTGAATGACTGTATTTATTGTAGAAAATGTTAAACTGAGTACTTGATACTTTTTGAAAAGAAGTGCATGTAATCACTAGCCTTTAGCATTTTATCCTTTATTTCGCGCTCTTTCAAACCAAACACCTAACCCACACCATTTGGTCCGGAGCTTTGGAGTTTTCCTAGTTGCCTACTGGCAGTAATACCATAATGATATTTTGTGTTATTTTCTTTTTTCAGTGTAGGTGATGACGACAGGACACACGAATGTTATACAGAATTCATCTGCATTAAAATTTGAGCGCAAAACTTGACATGAACCTTGTTTCAGACTTTCAGGTGTGAAAATGGCTTCAGAGAATGAGAAAGTAAGAAATGGAGCACACAGCGGCCACTGGTGGTTTAAATCCTGATCATCTAACTTCCTTAAAGCGTAGTATGTTTTTTTAAGCATACCTGTCTATATAAAAAAAATCCTTCACCCAGCAGAATTGTTGATTCTTCTTGTTTTTTCTACTTTTAACCTGAAACAACTGAATCCATCTCTCTGTGGATGATTACCAATCGTCTGATTCTGGGGATCAACATGGCTGCAGGACGGAAGATGGTCCTCACATCACAAGCTACGGGGGGGTTCAATCAGTTTGGAGGGGGGCCTGTAAAAAACAAAATGATTCATGTGGCTGTTAGGCGTGGGTCCTGGTCCGAGGCCAAGTCTGTCTGCTCATCAACATAAACAGCCTGCTCTGTGGGTGATGCGGTAGAATACAAATGGCAGAATTTCGATGTGAGCCCTTGCTCACCTGCGTCTCAGCCAATTCTGATGAGGAATTTCTCTCTGCACCTGCTGAGAGCGAGAATAAAGAAAAGAGTAAATAAGAAACGTGAGAGCCAGGAGTGAAGCAGGCTGTATACAGAAGTAAATAACATCCAACCTCTATCTACCAATATGTTGTCTTCTGTTCCCACTCTATAGAATTATTCTATGTATTGGCAGAATATACATCTATCTCTATTCATGACATCATATATGGAGCTCAGAATAAAGCCACTCCTTGA